AGGAAAAAATTATAAAGTATATGTTATGAGAAAATATGTTTCCGAGCATTAATTATGCATTCTTCCAGTAGTTTGTAATAATTCTGATAATAAATATTTGAATTTGAACTATTTGTCTTGTTATATTTCTGCGTCTGAATTATGTCATTCTAAACTAGGACATGTTAGTATTTTAAAAATGAAAGAAATTATTAGAATGAACTTACTTCCTGCATTATCTAATGTTCAATTGCCACCATGTGAACATTGTTTAACTGGTAAAATGATTAGAAAATTTTTTATTGGTGGACAAAGCTAATAAATTTTTAGGGTTGATACACTCGGATATTTGTGGTCCCCTAAGTGTCAAAATTCATTGTAATAAAAAATATTTTATTATTTTTATAGATGATTATTCCAAGTTTGCACACGTCTATCTTATATCTAGAAAATTAAAAGCTCTTGACTGCTTTAAGAGAGATAATACAGAAGTTGAAAACCAACTTGGAATAAAAATTAAAATTTTGAGAACTGATAGAGATAGGTAATATAACTCTAAAGAATTTGAGAGTTATTGTATTCAGCATGTAATTAAAAGGTATACAACAATGTAATATACGGCATAATAGTATGATGTTGCTGAAAGAAAAAACAGAACATTGTTGAATGTAGTTAGATGCATGTTGTCTCATTCTGGTCTCTCCAAAAACTTTTGGGGAGAAGCATTGTTAACTACAAACTATGTTTTAAATAAAATTCCCACCAAATCAATTATATCTACACCTTATGAATTATGGAATGGAAGGAGACCTAATCTGAGTCATCTTAGGAAGTGGGGATCTATAGCTCATGTTCTCATTCCATATCAACTTAGAGATAAGTTGGATTTTAAAATAATAAAGTGTAGATTCATAGGTTATTCAGAAAAGTTAAAAGGTTATAAGTTCTACAATAAAGAAAAAGGAGTCATTGAAAGCGGAGATGCTACGTTTCTAGAGAACCTAGAGGAAGAGAAACAAGTTCGAGAGGAAACAAAACTTCTAACTATAATAGACGATGATTATTACAATGTTATTCCCACTAATGACCATGATATTGTGAATGGATCTAACCTTAAAAATGATGAAATACCTATGAAAAATAATGTACCTCATCAACCGACTGTAGGCAACAAAAGGCCGAGAACACAACATTCATGTATGGATGATTACTATTTATATTCATGTGAGTCATCTTGTTTCTCGGTAGATACAAATATACAAGAACAAGATCTCTTAAGCTTTATCTGATGCAATGAAATCACATGAATCAACTTTATGGCTAGAATCCATGAGAGAAAAACTTGATTCTATAGAAAAGAATAATGTATGAGAGTTATGTGATCTACCGGAAAATAGAAAGGTTATAGGATGCAAATGAGTGTTTAAAAAGAAATATCGTGTTGATGGATCTATTGATAAATTTAAAGCACGGTTAGTTGCCAATGGTTACAACCAGAAGGCAGGAATAGATTTTTAGGAGACGTATTTTGCTGTAGCTAAATTTACATCTATTAGAATTATTTTGGGTATTGTTGCATATCTTTATTTGGAGTTATTCCAAATGGATGTTAAAACTGCACTCCTTAAAGGAGAGTTGAAGGAAGCGATATATATGTAACGACTTGAAGGTTTTCAGATGAAAGGAGAGGAACATAAAGTATACTAATTAATAAAATCTCTATACGATTTAAAACAGTCTTCTAGACGATGATATCTCAAATTTCATGATGCAGTCACTAAACTTGGTTTTATCCAAAATAAATTAGATAATTGTGTATATGTCTTGAAAAGTAAGAGCAAATTTACTATATTATCCTTATATGTGGATGATATATTACTCGCTAAAAATGATATAGAAATGTTGAATAAAATCAAGACAGATCTCAGCGAAAAGTTTAAGATGAAAGACATGAGAGATGCATCATATATTCTTGGAATTCAAATAATTAGAGATAGAAAGTCTAGAATGCCAAGTTTAAACTAAGAAAAATATTTAAGATCAGTTCTTAAAAAGTTTGGAATGGAAACTTTCAATCCGGCGCTAACTATGTTGGTCATGGGAAAGAGACCATGTAAAGAGCAAAGCCCTGGAGAGGGGCAAAAGTCATTAAATATTCCTTATGCTCAAGCAATTGGAAGCTTGATGTATGTAATATTGTGCACCAGACCTGATATAGCTTATGCTCTAGTCAGTCGATATCAAAGTAATCCAAGACCAGCACATTGGGAAGCTGTTAAAAAGATTATGAAGTATATCAAAAGTATATTAACTCATAGATTAGCTTATCAAGCCGATTCGCTTGATCTCCTCGGTTACTCCGATGTTGATTTTGGAGGTGATAAAGATGATAGACTTCGGGACACTTATTCATCTTCGGAGGAGTTGTTTTTTAGAGTAGCAAGAAACAAGAGTGTGTTGTTAGATATACGCAAGAAACTGAATACATATCTTGCAGTATGGTAACTACACATGCTGTCTAGATATGATGGTTTTTGATTGATCTAGATCTTAATTTGTTAGAAGGCCCTATTAATATTTATTGTGATAATCAAGCAGCAATTAGCTTAATCAATAGTAGCGCGAATAGCTCTAAAGGAAAACATATTGAGGTCCAGTATCACTATATTCGAGATATTATAGAAAAAGGAGAAGTCAAAGTGACTTATATCCCTACTACAGACATGATTGATGATTATTTGACAAAAGGAATATCAGTGGAATATTTTATCAAATATGTAAGTTTGATGGGACTTAGGAACAAATAAGTCCAAGTAAAATTTCATGAATAATGAAATAAAAGTTACTCTCTATGAATAGTGAGAGTAATGGTAAGAAGAAAACATCTGATTTCACGGATAGTGGGAGGCATGTCACTTAGTTAATTTGGTCAAGTGGGAGATGTTATCATGACTCGGTCTTGTGTGACCAAATCAACAGCTCATGTTGTGAAAAACGTGGAAAACGTGGAAAATGGGTTGTTGAGAGAAAATCTCTCAGGGGCAGTTATGATGGGGTGAAGATGATGGGTTTTGCCCCTATAAAAGGAGTGTTCTCCTTGAGAAAATACAACAACAAGAAAAAAGGAATCAAACCCCTTACCTGTTACCGGAGCCCCCTTAAAGAAATCCTGTCATTCCCTCTTGTCTTCTCTGTTTACTTAGAGACCACCCTCAAGTTGGTGGGACGACGGTGGGGCCTCTCCAGTGACCGTGGTTTGCTGGCGGCGAGGCCCTCTTTGAAAACCCCCTTTTTCTTTCAACTTATAGACCAAAATCAAATCACAAACCCATTTTATAGATTCTCTACAACATTTATACAAATGATTTCAAATTATGCAAAGCATTAGATTTTTGCTAGCTAGTTCTCCTATTTCTCCTTCTCCTTCACTTGTTCTAAACAAATTTTCAGTAGAGAACTAAGAGGTCATCAGCTTGGTCTTTCTTTTTTTTTGCTTTTTTTTTATTTTCTCTTTATTTTTCCCTTCGGTCTCATTCTGCCTTGAGGTGGTGCCACTCTCCCATCCTAATCACAAAGAGCCTCGGAATACACAGATGTGGCGGTGAGAAACTATGGTGATGGGCAGGTTTTACACAAAACCACTTATCCATAACAGATTTGCATAAGATCTTATTAGGGTAAATTAATTATTTTGATTAGGGTTACTACAATGACCATTATCATTAGCCTTTTGTTGCACTAATGATTTGACGAAGTTTTATGAGCGGTTCTCTAAAGGAATTCTCTGAAGGACATCATCTCATTTAACTAGTGCAAAAATCCTTGTTAGGGAAACTATGGAAATATGAGAGTGCCTTGTAACAGAACCTGAAGACCAATTATAAGTTTCAATTCTCCGACACTGGCAGGCAACATGTCTAGGAGAAAGATGATTAAATTACAGTAGACAAATTGATTCAACTTAATACACAGATAAAGCAAGAGTTAATACATTCCCACATCTCTTCATGTCCTTGACTTCTTAAAGTTGCGAGAAAAATCGTTTTCTTAATCTGTTTCACATTTTAAGTTAAATGAGTTTCACATGAATCCGGCCATGTCTGTTATTATGTTTTTCATTAGTAGGCTTTATATATTTTCCATTTATTTGAAGTTTTGAGTTCATTCTTGTGCTGCAATCAGGATATTGAAACCGTGCAGTTTGCATTTCTAGTTAAGAAATTTGATCCTTTGCATTTAAGATGGTGAATTTTAGTGCCAGCATTTTTTCCTGTTAAACATCTGTTTGGTCAGTCTTTAATTGTGAATATGTTTTCCTTTAGACAGTATCCTGTACATAATCCTACAAAAGTGTACGGTATGCAATGGAATGGGATTGCTTTCGGAAGTTTTATAAACAAGACATCATGTTCTTGAAGATCTTACCCATGGATCAAGGTTACTATTATTATTATTATTATTATTATTTCATGATATAGAAGATCTCATTCGTCCATGAGTAGGGAAACTTCAAAATTTGTCACACAACAACAGTTACAATAAAGCCTTTAATAAAAATTTCAGAACGTATTCACAACTAAGTAAATTATAATGAGCAGAATGTGTTGTAATCAAAGAATCAGAGAGCGCCTTTCGTTATATTGTAAACAAAGTGAGTGCATATCTTTTTATTTTTCAATCTTTTAGATGTGTCTTTATCAAAACAAACAAAATGGATATATCCAATTTCATTATTTACTGTGACCTTTGGTGCATAGACAAAATGAAGCTAGTCATGCCCACAGGCATATATTAAAGCATCCTATGCTTTTGTATACCAATAATCTTGTAGCAACTCTAGCATTACATTGCATGGTATAATTGATTGCTGATCTCCTGTGATGTGCTGTTATGTGTCTGCTATTTTTGTCGCCTCATTCAATTTATTTATTCCTCGTTTCTATAAAAAAACTGTAACCTTTTGACTCTTGTAACATATTATGTTTTCTTGCTCTTTAAGTTTAAGTAATTTCATGATACAGCAACGTGAAAAATCGTGGTTTGCTAGTTCTTTGAAGTCAAGATTTCAGTACTTGGGGCCTGCACCTCGTCTTCCAGTAGTTGGCAAAGAACCTAGGAAAGTGAATCATCTCGACCAATCGGCTGGCCCAGTTGATACATTTTGTTTGTTGGTTTTTGACCCAGATCAGGTTACATGCTACATTATGAACTTCAATCTTCTCTAACCTTAATGAATTATTTAGTCATTCAAATTATTTTGTTCACAAAAGATGAATCCTGCATGAACTATGCCACTTCCCAATTTTGTTTTTGTTTTTGTTTTACCTGAGGCATCACCATGGTTGAATAAATAGTGTATGTCTATGTGACCAATTGGGTATTCTGATCTTCTCACTTGTTAAGTTGTTTATCTTGATTATTTGTTCTGTCTTTGTCAGGTTGATTACGTAAACTTGAAAAGCAATGAGAGGTTGCTGTTTACCTTTAGACCAACCGGTGATGGTTGCCAAAGTTGGATGTCTGAAAAAATCAATCCATGAACTATAATGCTGTTTAAAATGCCAGTATTTTATTGTGATCCAGTGTTTAAAAATTAAGGGTTTATTTTCTTGTTTCATTTTGTACTTAAAAACTGTGAAAGATAGGTTGCATGATAATTAAAAATCCCATTTATTTGATTATGCAGCATTTTCATGAATTTGTTTCATATATATGTGGTTTACTGTTATTTGATAGTATTCTTTTCATGAATTTGGTACGTTTCTGGTTCTTTTCATGAATTTGGTACATTTCTGGTTTTACTGCTATTACATAATTGCTTATTTATTTATTTCCCTAATTGGATGAAGTTCCTGTTTCTGCGGTGAGCTTGAGGAGATGAAACGGAAAACGGTAGAGTCTTGCCATGTAATTCATGCGTTTATCAAGATGAAACCACCATTTTAAAGTGCAAAAGTGAGTTTTGCCATGTAGAATATCATACATACATAATTCACTTCACCTGAAAAAACTCTAAAGTCATAGCAAGAGTAAAAAATTTAAACTATTATTAATAAAATACACTAATATATAATTAATCAGCCAACTGAAATTATTTTGTATTGTTAAAACAAACTATATACTATTATGTTTTTCTTTAAAAAAATCAAGTTATCAAATTAAATATAATAAATATATTATCCATACTATTTAATTTAAAGTAAATGCTTTAAGTGACAACACCATGGTTAGAGTCTTGCGATGAAATTATTCACATTAATTTGATTATCATGACATCTATATCTTGCTTTCAATTGTTTTATGATTAACAAATGATTGAAGTCATTAAAATCGCCATATAATAATAACTAAATAGATAAATAATATCGTGTCATCACCTTCCTTTTTTACTTTCAAAAATAGTTTAGTTAACAAACAAAATATTTCACTTGCATGTAAGCATGGATGTACTTTTGCACTTGTAAAAAAACAACTTCCAAACTTTCCGGTATTACTTTTAGTGTTTGGATGAAAAGAAGTACTGGAATTAGGAAGTAAATCAAATAAATAACTTTTAAAATTATGAAGTAAGAAAAAGCGGAAATAATACTTTTTTTAGTTTGTTTCACAAGTTTTTTGAAGTAGTAGAAATGCTTGTCCTTTTTCTTTTCATTTACTTTTTTGTTTGGACAACAATTGCAAATATTTGTTCAGAAGATAAACTTGAATACAAAACAATATACTATATATTTATACTATAATATCATATATATATATAATATATATATATATACACCAATGTGACTTTCCTCTCATCATCAATGTGCTGGTTGAGACATTCTATATAAATCATTTCATAAAATATTAAAAAAAAGAAAAAAAATAATGATTGACAGGACCAAATGTGGCCTTGGCGCGCAAGGCAAACATCAAAAGGCATTACGCATCAAAATGTATATACTGGTAAGCTCAATCACAATTTTATTAACTTTTACGCATTGATTGCCGTTTTTGTTTCGCGGCCTAAATCACATGCACTGTAAAATAACAAGGCAGGGTTTTGATTGCACGAGCACTATCTCCAAACCACGCTTGAACCTAAATAATTATCCTATTAACTAATATAGAGATTAAATTATTACTTATGATTAACTTAGACTCCAATGACTTGAGCATATATTTGGACCGCATGCACATAGGCTTCCAAATATGACCCGTCGGTCTGGGCCAGAGATTGCCTAGAAACTCGGGCCTGACCGCGGGTTCGCGGCCCGGGTACGGGCCGCCTCCGTTCGGCGCCCGGTTCGCAGCCGGCCCGGCCTGGACGAGAAAATTCGATCAGCGGCCAAAATTAACTGAGGCCAAGGCGGGCCAGTCGCCGACTCGGTTGCCCGTCCGGGTCACAAGTACCTAAAAGGTGACCGTCGCCGGCAAAAAGCCGCAGCCGGGCTAGCCCGACCCGGCCTGGCATAAACGGTCACAAATGTGACCGTTTTGGGTTGCCCGGCCCGACCATAATGGCCAAATTGGCTGTTTTGACCGTTTTATGAATTAACTTAAGACTCATGACTAGAGCATATATTTGGACCGCACACACATAGGGCTGTCCAAATGACCCGTCGGCTCGGCCCGGTCCGAAAACCCGGGACAGACCTGTTAGACCCTAAGGTCGCTATGAAAGAACCCTAGAGGGGGTGAATAGGGTTTATGCTAATCTAATCCGATTTTAGGCCAATTAAAACTTATTAATAAATATATTCTTGCAAGATAGATATACAACTAATTATGAGCAAGAATATGCAATATGCACAAGATGATATATCCTAGCAATGAGATATCTATATGGTATATGTAAGGATATATAAACTATCACAAGGGAGAAACAAACTAAACAAGATCGTGGACAAGATTAACAACAAGCAATAGGCAATGGCGATATAAGATATGAACATAAGAAAATGTGCGCCAATGCAAACACAAACACAAACACAAACACATAATATGTTCACGAGGTTCGGACCTTCCATCCTACGTCCCCGCTCCCCACTCCCGGGGAAAATCCACTACATAACCCGGTTTGAAAGCCGGAACTTCTCTACACACTCGGTTTTCTAGCTAACCGAAAACTCTACACACTCAGTTATCAAGTCAACCGACAACTCTCACAAATCCTCACAATGTACATACACAAGCTACAACCTCAAGTGTTGGTCCTCACGTATCGCCTCCCTCAAGTGCTCGGAATTATCACCTCTCACTAGGCCACCGACGCCACTCCTCTCGGTATCGACTACGTCCTCACCACACACTCCTCTCGGTTTACAAGTGTATTACATAGTGATCTACACAATTAGGCACAATAACAAAGTGTTTGTTCTCTAATACAAGGTGAGAACTCAATGTAGCTCACACTCTAAGTCACACAATCCCACAACCTAATTATACAATGTATGCAAATACAATAAGCTCAATGGTTGTGTGTGTAAGCAAAGAGTAAATAAAATCAACTAAACTCAATATAAACACTAGCTTAATAAAATGGTAATTAAACAATATAAATGTAAAGCTAGATTGAGTTTAGGAAAACTTCTCTATAGATAACAAGAGAGAGGGAGAAGAGTGAATGCTCAAACACCAAGGATGATCTCCACTTGCTCTTGTGAAATTCTCTTCACAAACAAAACTCTTAAACGCTTAAAAGCTTTTTTTTAAACAAACACTAAACAAAACTTAAACCCTTGTTAAAACTTTGTTAAAACATTCTCTTGGATTGGATGAAGAGCTGAAGGCAATGGGGTATTTATACCCACTTAAAACTTCAGCAAAAACCCAAAGGAAAAGACCAAAAATCCATAAACAAACAAATCAGAAAACTAGTTGTTATTGTGCAACGACTCTCTGATAAGTCGACTCATGAGTCGACTAATGAGTCGGCTTATATGAGTCGACTCAGCAGAAGAAAAATCATAACTGCGCTGCACTTCGTGAGTCGACTTATGAATCGACTCATGAGTCGACTAATGAGTCGACTAGACATGCACAGACCTGAAGAGCACAGAAAAACTCAACTTTAAACTGGGTTTAAAAATATCAAATAAATTCAGAAAAATATAAAAATTTAGGAAATGATTGTAGGCATGATAATACACATGCTACAAAATATCATTATTTTTCGAAATAGTTCAAAACATGAAAATGTAAACACATGAGTTTTGACATTTTAGCTTAACCATGTTTTGAAACTTTACAAAATGAATATATAGACGTAATAGAAGATGTATATCATTATCGTTAAGTCCATATACCAAGAAAACAATATTTTCACAAAAATACTTGTTTTGTAAACTTTCAAAACAATAAACATGATTTCATTGAGCTAAATAAATTTGATATTGATGAAATCATATGTAAGCATATAAACATGAAACAAAAATGTATTTTCTAATTATATTCAATTGTTTCATATTTAAACTTGAAAAACCAAAATAATAAATATGAAAGATGT